GTCCCGATCCAGAAAGGGACGCAACTGGCGAATCAGGCTAACCTGATGAAAAATCCTCCCGGTCACGGCCGTCAAGTGCTCTTCTAAAGACAGCCGTGAATCCAGGAGGACGCCCAAGTTGCGAGCCCTCTCCGTGGGGGCCAATGATTCGCCCCCAATAGTCAGTGATGGTGTCAACTGACTATATCGGGACGTCGGAAACCACAGCCACTCAGTCTTGGATGGGTTGAGCCTGAGCCTGTTCCTCCCCATCCAGATCCGTACGGCCTCCAGGCACCGGGACATCACTTCAAGGGCATTGTTAAATATATGCTTATTTAAACATGAAATTATATGTTATTGTTTTCACATTCATCTTTTTGAAAAATAGACAAAAAGACTATTATTCGGTCAAATCTCTTATGATCAGTGATCGTGAAAATGCATAAACAAAACTATGCTTTGATATCTGACTGTAAACTAAGTCTCAAAAGCCAGGTTGCATAAGAAATAAAATTAGTGGCAAATAGGTTTGCATGGGTTAAAATATATTTCAAAGTCTGAAAGAACATGGTATAAATAGGTAAAGGTATAGGTTTCCCTCGCACATATGTGCTAGTTGTTCCCGACTCTAGGGGTGGTGCTCATCTCCGTTTCAAAGCCAAAGAACCAGCGTTGTCTGAAGACGTCTCCATGGTCATGTGGCCAGCATGATTAAATGCCAAAGGCGCACGGAGTGCTATTACCTTCCCACCAAAGGTGGTCCCAATTTTTTTACTTGCATTTTTTACGTGCTTTCAAACTGCTAGTTTGGCAGAAGCTGGAACAAGTAACGGCAGCTCACCCCATTACGTGGCACTAGGGATTCGAACCGCTGAACTACCGACCTTTCGATCGACAAGCTCAGTGTCTTAGCCAATGAGCCACCATGTCTCTTAAGCAACATCTCTTAGAGGCACCCTATTGGAAAGGGTGCTCTAACAACCCTCTTCCTTTAAATGAATATCACTTCAGTGCCACTGAACTACAAAGATTCTGGCAAAACCTTTTGAAAGTAACAGAATAAACAAAATAATCACTATTTCAACATTAAAAATAAGGAAGGCAAGGATCTCACTAGCCAGATAGACAGAAGGGTAATATCCTTCCCGGCACCATGAATTGACAGCTGCCTATAGTCCATAACAATTATAATCATAATTTACAGCAGTGTAATAATGTTGCTATACAATTTTGAGTGGCAAAAGCCAGCAACAAAATAGCTAAACCTTTGGATACTTGTTCTTCTGGCTCTGGTCTTAGAAGCCCTACCTTTCTGACAAAAAATCCCTCTGCTTCGATTCCTAGGACTTGTCAATCAGCCATCAACAAAACCACTCCTCAGTCCCACTCCTCATAGAGAAAGACAGAGTATACTTGTTTTAAGAAACACATAGATAATACTTAATTATTTAATTTTCATACAACATAATATTTTCTAGCCTTCACATGTACAGTGTGAACAGTGTGATTTGAATGGCAGACTAAAAGGAAAATTAGTGAAAGACTGATGAAATTTAAGCATAAATTACAGAAATTAGACTAAGCATAATACTACTGCACTAAGTTTAGTAAGTAGTCTACATAATTTCTGACCATTAAAAAAAATTCATCCAATTATAATTCCTACTGTACTTTGATTAGACTATCAGAAAAGTCGTGATGGCGCAGTGTTTAGAATGAAGTATTATTGTAGGCTAATTCTGCTGGCTACCAACTGCCAGCAGTTCGATCCTGACTGGCTCAAGTTGACTCAGCCTTCCATTCTTCCAAGGTCGGTAAAATGAGGATCCAGATTGTTGGGGACAATATGCTGACTCTGTAAACTGCTTAGAGAGTGCTGTAAAGCACTGTGAAGAGGCATATTGCTATTTTTAGTATCACAAAAAACAAATGTTATAAGGAAGATGATATTATACTATTAAGCATTTATTTTACTTCTATAGCAGTAGTGCAGATCTTGACATCTTCTTAAAAATGCATTCTATAATTTGCAGAAATCATCTTGACATGCTGAAAATAAAGCGAAGTAGCTAAACCATACAAAGCACAATTTTTTTTTTAAATTTTAAACAAAGTTTATATATCTTTTCTGGAAATTTGAACACTGATTACCCTTCAAAATAATCCAGCATTTGTATAATACAATGTGCAATTTGAAAGACTGCCTCCAAATGACCCCGTCTTAAATAGGATAGAGAAACAAGCAGCAAGTACTTTTAAAAATATGTACTATTATATTTAGTTATTGCAAAAAAAATAACTTAAGGTTACTCTAAACATTTCATATTACTATGTTTTCTCTAACATACCTTCCTTTCTCCCCAGTTACCCATTTGCATTGATTAGAGTGAAATAAAAGTCTTCAGCCTGTCACACCCCTTGACTACGCCCACCGTGGCCATGCCCACCCAGCTGGTCATTAGGGCAGAGAACCAGTTAAATTATTTGAATCCCACCACTGGTCTAAAGTAACTCAGGCTTTCATGTCTAATTCAGAATTAGAATTTGAATATGTGGAACTGTAATGTAAAGCACTCTTCTTCCCTCCCTCCCTGATGCCCCTCTATTCCTGTGAAAATATGACATGGAATAAAATACACTTTAAACTGAGTAGATAACAACAACAGGGAAACGGAATTCTCTGAAAATGAGCTGGAGGCACTTTCTGTGTGAAGCTTTCACTAATGGAAAGAATTGTTCAGCTTGCCTCATTGAGAAGGCAATGTTCATATGTTGCTGGATTGCTTGGAAAAGAAATCCCTAAAAACTTGCTATTCTAACCCAAGCAAGAAAAAAAATGATACTGCTATCTTCAACTTAGTTCAGATCAGTGGTGGGTTGCTCCCGGTTCGCAAGAACCAGTAGTATAAATTTGTAGCAGTTCGGAGAACCGGTAATAACATTGGCTGGTCCCCAACCCGGTCACCGCTCGCTTACCGCCCACCTCATCAGAGGCTTTTTTTTTTTTACTTTTAAAAGCATTTTTTCTACAACTGCTTCCGCTGAAAAAATGCTTTTAAAAGTAAAAAAAAAAAAAGCCTCGGATGATCGTGTGTCTCAGCTGGGATCGTCAGAGGCTTTTAAAAGCATTTTTTCTTCAGATGAAGTGGTTGTTTGAAAAAAAATGCCTTTAAAAGCCTCTGGTGATCCCAGCTGAGCTGCCTGATTGTCAGAGGCTTCTAAAAAAATGCCTTTAAAAGCCTCTAGCGCTCCCAGCTGAGCTGCCTGATCATCAGAGGCTTTTAAAAGCATTTTTTTCTGCAACCTCTTAAGGTTGTAGAAAAAATGCTTTTAAAAATTAAAAAAAAAAGTTGGCCATGCCCCCCAGTCACATTACCTCCCTACTAAGCCCCGCCCACAAAATAAGCCCCGCCCACACAACCGGTAGTAAAAAAAAATTAGAACCCACCCCTGGTTCAGATACAAAATCAAAATGATAATTTCCATGTGATTAAATGTGGATAATCTAAGTATATGTTTGACATGTCTTTTGGCTACGAAATATAACCTTTTCATGCTACCGGGTTTTCCCAAAAATAAGACCCTGTCTTATTTTATTTTGAACCCTGAAATAAGCACTGGGCCTTATTTTTGGGGAGGTCTTATTATTTTGGGGCGTGTGGAGCAAGACAGGGATCCTCTTGCCGTGTTACCTGATTCCAGCTCTGTCTCCCTAATCCTAACCAGTGGAAATGGCGGGGACTGGCTGTACATGCATTTAAATATTTTCGGGGAGGGCTTATTTTCAGCGGAGGGCTTATTATCCAGGGAGGTCTTATTTTCAGAGAAACATGGTAACAGGATTTATCTTTCACCATGAAAGGAAAAAAAATTGTGAAAATATAGCTAATTATATCTGTATCTGTACATATGCATGCATACACACACACACACACAACTATATAAATGTGAAACAGCTTAATCTCCCTGCCCTATGTATTCAACTGAGTATTTGAGATGTCAAATGAACAATGCAAAAGCTGGTAATAATAATATTTTAGTGTAAAAATTAATATCAAAATCTGTGACTCGATTTTATTTCACTTTGCTTTACACTGTTTCAATTATATTTAATTTTTCCTGGTAATACTTAAGAAAACTTTTAAAATAGTAATAAATAGAATTACCCAGTATCGTGATTCTTATTTTTTATTTTATTTTAATGTATTAAATTTGTTTTTCACCCATCTTGCTTCTGTTGGAACCCTTAAATAAAACACACACATAGGTCCCAGAAGCTGTCCTTTGGCCAAATGGTGCCTCATTAATGTTGTTGATTTATGGACGTGTCCTTTGACGGCCCAGCAAAGGGCCTATGGATCCACCTCTCCAGCCAGGGGACAATGGCCCAGAAACTCCATCCTGAACCAAGGATGCAGTCACTCCAAGTCTCTGCCTTGGGCTAGAATTGTCACACACACACCTTTTTCCTCGGATCAAGTCTCTCCCCCACCCCTCCAGTGAATCCAGCATTCTCACCTAACAACCTTTTCCTCCCCTTTTATAACTTCTTCTCCAATCCCCTTCTCCCAAGGCTGCCCCTTCCTTTCTCCCTCTGAGCTGCTGGAGTCTGCAGTCCTACTCCCAAGCACTCTGATTTAACTGCTTCTGCTGAAAATTACATCTCCCAGAAGTCTAGCTCAGTGTCCCTTTCTGTTCAAATTCCAGGGTGAGGCTCTAGCCAGCCAGTCAATCACTGAATGCTGGCTAACTTCCCTGCCTTCTTATCTGTGTCAAAATACCAGAGCAGCTCAGGGGGGAAAACAGCCAGTCAACAACAGCTGTAAGTCTTTGTGGGATTTATAGGATGGAAGAAAAAAGAACCGCTGAGGAACAAGGCTGTGATATTATGTCAGTTCAATTGTATAGATTTAAACAGGTTTATATAGTTATTTAAACTGAACAAACCATACAATGTTTGACAGTAGAATGCTATATATATTGCACAGAATAGATAACAAGTCTATTCATTGGCTTACCTGAGAAGAATATGTGTGACCATCTGATCCACAAACTGGATTGGTATAAATTACAGGACACTGTTTGCATTTTGATGAAAGAGAACCAACTCTCCATTGTTTATGGCTTAAACCAGCTTCTTTCATCCTGAAAGAAATCAAATCAGGTAAGAAATGTATGAAAAGGGGACCAGAGAAGTATTTTATATTAAACCACAGTTTGTTGAATAGGTCACAGTGATTTTTCGTAATTAATGCAATGATAAGCCATTTTTCTGTTATCTATTGAGGGTAACAGAAGAGCGAACACAAGTCACATGGTGGAACAAGAGTAAATGAAGCCAGATCCAAATCTTGATGGAAACTCCATACTTTTTTTGTCTTATAGCTCCTTCTAAACAGCAATTTTTAGAAAACAACCCATATTAAAATATGATTTGATACCTTGAAAAAACATTTATTAAACCAGTTTGATTAACTACATGAAACTAGGTTAATGATGGGTTTATCCACTACATTACATCCAAACAATAAATCGCACTGTAGCTTACTATTATTTGAAAACTATGCCACTTTCTTCGTTAATTTAAACTAATATTTGCATCTTATATTAATATCTTGGCTACCGCGGAGAAATATTTACAACTCTATAAGAAAGATCAATCATTGTCAGGACTGAATAACACTATTTAACATGTTGCATAACCACAACCATTGTGTTTATTATGTTGTTCCAGTTTGATTATAAAAACACAGACCTTGGCCCAATTTATCAACGAAGTCTGTATGTCTTGATATTCTAGCAAAACTATTTATATTTGAGGATGCTGGAACACCTCTAAGAAAGCGAGATGATTTTTATTAAGGATCTATTGTTCATACTCCGAGAAAGACTATGCAAATTCAGATTAGAAAGTGAAATATATGAATCATTATGAAAGCTACCAATATAAACTAATATTTAAGAGAGAATAAAATGATTACTGTAGAGTCAACCAACAACAGACTAAGCATTCTAATCAATAAATTATGAACAAGCCATGTATTAGAATACTTTGTTAAAATTAAGTTCTAATCTTAACTGGTCATAATTCTCCACTTCTTCTTTCTTAAAGCTTATCAAAGTAACAGGAATAGAACAAATTACAAAATGAAATCAATTTCAAAACAATGGTTTAAAACTTTGCTACGCATTTGATAGTTGATTAATCTAATAAGTGTTGAATTTCAACATATAAAGAAGAAATAAAAAAAGAACAGAAGGATGAAGTATGTATTCCTTTGGCGTGCATATATCTGAGCTTCTTAAGACAAAATATGCCATGTCTGATTTGCCTTGTTGATTCATGATGCTTCTTTCTTAATTCTATGACCAATTCGTTTTATGAAACCATGCATTTTCTAAAACATTTTCACAAGATAAAGGTAATGGAAAAGTTCCCATTTCAAAAATGTTTCTGTGGAAAATATTTCATTTCCTATTACTGAGATAAAGCAGCAGACACTAGCAGAAGGCTGCACAATGGATATAGATCATGTATTAAACTGAACAAGCCAATTAAATTTAGCTACAGCTCTCCTGTTTTCCATAATGTTCAAAACCATCTTACAATTTGGCAAACTGTTTATCTGGACTTGAGTAGTGTCTCCTCTCTGCTGTTCGAGGAGTAAAACATCTGTCTCACTATGGGATAATTAGAAGGCAGTAACAGCACAATTAATCCATTTCATGTCAGCTAAATCCCTGTTATTTCTTATTTTTGCAAATAATTAAAGTTACAGTGACAACTTTTGTATCATTACATAGAATTCTTCTCCCTCTCTTTTAACTAAGCATTTGGGGAAAAATTAACATTTTTGGGATAAAATATATATCACAATGAATGTTAAAAACATATATTTAAATATCTTTTTAATTAAATCAACTTTTTTTTCATTTCTTCCATGCCTTCTATATTAGCTTGAAGCTATCAGGATTACATTCCTTTAATAATTATATTTCTATATCACCAGTAATCACAATTCTCTCAGCAATTCACAAAACCTTTAGAAAGAATCATCAAACAATGTTTGGGAATATTATTTCTATTTTTATCCAATACTAAAGGTAAAGGTTCCCCTTGCACATATGTGGTAGTTGTTCCCGACTCTAGTTGTTCCCGACTCATCTCTGTTTTAAAGCCGAAGAGCCAGCGCTGTCCAAAGACATCTCTGTGGTCATATGGCCGGTGACTAAACACCAAAGGCGCACAGAGCACTGTTACTTTCCGACCAAAGCTGGTCCCTATTTTTCTACTTGCATTTTTTACATGCTTTTGAACTGCTAGGTTGGCAGAAGCTGGGACAAGTAACAGGAGCTCACCCCATTATGCGGCACTAGGGATTCGAAGCGCTGAATTGCCGACCTTTCAATTGACAAGCTCAGCATCTTAGCCATTGAGCCACCATGTCCCTCCAATACTACAAGTCCATTAATATTCATGAGTGAATACAAGTGAAAACACTGGTTGACATACTGATAGTTCAAGATCTATGGTACATCAATTAGTAAGTTATTTGTTTCCTAGACTCACTAGTTCTGGAGAAGCAAGAATAGCAGTACTGATTGAGAGATACTGATTGAGAGAGTACTATAGCTGTGGAGGATTTGCCACTTATTATTTTTGTTGTTGCTGTTATTATTATCGATGATATAGAACTCCAGGGGGTAGGTAGAAGAGACAAAAGACACAAGAAAGTAGTAATTAATTTATAATATTTTCTTAGAATCACTAAACCATAGTTTTAGTTTACCAAATCTTTAAGAACCTAATTCTATTCAATAATATTTCATGCCAGTGAACTCCATAAAACCACCATCATACAGAAATTGTAATGCTAGAACCATAACATACATAATAGAGTACAATATAATTCACAATTCAGTTATTCTTGACTGATAGCATATCATGAAGACAAAATGGCAAAAAATGCAAAATCAAGACGGCAAAAAAGCATAGAAGAATTATAATTGCTTAATTGTAAATCTTATCCATGAATGTACTCACAAGATATGTTGACAGTATGAGTAGCTTCATTAGTAGAATAAGGAAGCTACTCCAGTACTATCAATATACCTTCTTCACATTCAAAAGGGAAATGTATGACAATAAAAGGGACACCCATGGGATCCCCAATATCAGGAGTCATTGCAGAAACAGTACTGAGAGAATTAGAACACCATAATTTCAAAGCTACTCACATGCATTCTGGTACTGCTAGATGGATGACATTTTTGTCATCATCCAAGAAATGCACTGAAAGACTTTCATACCATACTGAACTCCATCTTCTCAGACAACCAGTTCACAAGGGAGGAAGGAAGAAACAGCCAGACAATTACCATTTTTATATATGCTTGTCAACAGACAAGAAGATGGAAGCCTAGAAACCAAGTTTGCCACAAGGCCATCAACACTCCACACATTCTGAATTTCAACAGTAACCACCCATTGTCACACCAAAAGAGTTCCATGAGAACACTATACGGCAGGTTGAGAACGTACTGTAGTACCTAACAAGCTAACAACTGCAGAGCGGGTACCTATGTGAACAATTTAGGCAGAATGGGTATCCACAAGCATTTGTTACAAGATGTCTGATCAACATAGTGGGAAGAGAAAGAAAGAAAGAAGGTATAAAACCAACCACATGATACATACTGCCATACATCAAAAACATTTTGGAAGCAGTAAAATGCAGCTTTTGAGATCTGAAAGTCGGCATCAATGCCTAGAGGATACCATATGAGGACAAATTATACATTTGTAAAGATTGATTGTAGCTGAGAGAGACTTCTAATGTAATATATCAGATCTCCTACATGGATTGCTCCTGTGACTATATAGAACAGGCAGGGAGAAAGCGATTCACCAGATTGCAAGAACTCAAGTGAGTGGTTAGATGAGGAGATCCGAACTCATTGATAGTCTCACATTACAATGAACAAGGACATAAAATCAATTTTGCAGCTACTAAGATTGTTGGACGAGCAGATACAAAAACAGCCAGGAAAGTGATTAAAGCTGGGAAATGAGTCCCTCATCAGTCAACCAGAGTGTTGATTTACCACCTGTTTACCAAGTACTTAGGAGGCAAGGGCTTGGCAGCACAAAGAAACAACAGCCAATGATTTAACAGCCGGCCATCAACACTCCAATCAATAACTAAAAAACCACACACAACCAGGTACCATATAATGAACACATACAGAATAGTCCAAATCACATACTTTGCTAGACAGAAGTTCTCTGAAGATGAGCTCCAGCATGAGTCTGAAAGCTTGGAAGACTAAATCTCTGGTCCTGATGATTGGCCCAGATTGGATCCTAGAGATTTACTAGAATTATTTTATGGAAATTACAAATAGACATGGATAAAGATAGGAATGTTGAGAGAAGAGGCAAAGATAGTAGAAGAAAACAGGAATTTTCCAACAAGCCAGCATCCTTACCACTATTGGTAATACAGGGTGGATAAAAATCAATGATTTTTTTAAAAAAAATCAAAAAACTCAGATTTTTTTGATTTAAATCGGATTTTTTTGATTTTTATCAAATTTATTTTAATAAAAAACTTTTGGGGTAAACATCTATCGTAAGATAGTTTTCTATTTAAGATACATAAATAATTTAGTTTATTCAGCATGGAATGTAGCTTAGTTATGCAGCATGAGGCTGTATATTCTGCAACACTGGGACTATCGGTGAATCAACGGTGGGTCAAAGGAGTAGCAGAGATGACAGTTGCTCTTTAAAAATTATGATTTAAATCGAATTGATTTAAATCAAGCCTTTTTACTAGTGATTTAAATCATGATTTAAATTGTGATTTAAATCAACTCTATTTAAATCAAAACCACCCTGTGGAAATGGGAATTCCCATTCAAGAAAGGCCAGCCTCCCTTGTGCGGGACCAGGGAGCACTGCCTCCTCCTCTTGTTCTCCAGAGATCGATCAAGGCAGAAGTTGGACTCAGAGGAAACTGCTTCCTGAAAACTTTATCCTCCAGATTTCTACACACAGCAGCATTGTCCTCTGCCTCCTGCTTTGCTGGGAGGGGGCTTCAGACAGGGAAATGCCAATGATGTCTGGGATTGGGAGAAGAACA